AGCATCAGCCGGTGGTTTCCCGCCTGCTCGAAGCAGGCCGGCTGTTAAATAGGAAAATGGCAGAATCAGGAGACTACAGTGTGCGGAGGGAGCGGTGGGTCGAGAAATTGTTTGCCGAAGACTATTGTGTCGAAGTGGGAAAGAGTGCTGAAATCGACTTTTCTTCGTCGGCTGTTTATATATCGATCGTGGTCGGTGGCTTATTTAATTACGTATTTCTGGCTGCGTGTTGATTCATGCAATTCAATGAATTGATTAATTAATTAATTGATTATTAATTGATTCGTTCTTTGATCCCGATTCCGCCATTTGCCCCATGATTTGGGGGCCCGGGTTGTAGCACGTGGCGAATAACCCTTCCCTTTCTTTTCGATCCGTTGACCCTTGTCAACATGCAGGAGACATCAAACTTTATAGTAATTTGTTAATTTTAATTTGGTGTTGCTGTTTTTTTCGTATATGGCTTAAGATGTTTCACAATTGAGAAGAATCAAGTTTGATAACAACTTATCATTTTAATTTGCTTTCTGTTTTTTTTTTTCACGGTTAAAGATGTTTCACAATAGAGAAGATATCAAACATGATAGTAACTTATCATTTTAATTGGTGTTCCTGTTTTTTTTTTACATATGACTGAAGATGTTTCACAGCATTCGCGTTCCATGATAATTACTTTAATTGGTGTTCCTGTTTTTTCTCATGATAATTACTTTGTTTTTTTCTCATACGGCTGAAGATGTTTCACAACGGAGAAGATATCAAAACTTGATAGTAACTTATCATATTAATTGCCGGTTTTTTTTTCTTTACATACAGCTGAAAATGTTTCACAGCATTCGCGTTCCATGATAATTACATTAATTGGTGTTCCCGCTTTTTTTCATGATAATTACTTTAATTGTTTTCTGTTTTTTTTTTTATACGGTTGAAGATGTTTACATTTATTTTTACTCACGAACTTTTAATTGGTGTTCCTGTTTTTTTTCTCGCATATGGCTAAAGATGTTACGCATTTGGTTTTACTCACGGATGATAGTTGGTGTTCAGGGGTAGTATTTTACAACATAACGATAAAGTTAAATTTTCTTATCTTTTAATTGGAGTTGTTTTTTTCTCACACGGCTCATGACATGATGTTACACATTTATTTAAATAGCAAATAGTTTCCTGCTTTTTCACATAACGGCTGAAGATGCATCACATTTATTTTTATCACGGATTTTTAATTGGTGTTTCCGTTTTTCACATATGGCTAAAGATGAACATAAAGCTGGATTTTCTTTTTTCCCATACGGCTCATGATGTTACACATTTATTTTTATAGCTAGATAGTTTCCTGTTTTTTTCGAGTTTATTATATCAATTTTGGAATTCATCAAAATTTAATTGAATAAATTTATGACAGGAACGTTTCACATTAATAAATTTGTTGGAAAATATTGCCATAAGAGGAATAATGATAGTTATACACAACAGGAAAGTGCACATAAATAAGTCTCGAGTAAATTACCTAGAATGTGTCTTCAAGTTCTACACTTTTCTCAAACTTAGACTCGACTATTCAATGGAAGTTATTCTATCGTTATATTTAATCTTATAATTCGTCATATACTCACTTCACATCTCCCACGCAGAACCTTTGACATCAGCCTATCAAAAAGAATAACATACACGAAAATACCGGTGGTGTAGGTAAATTCTTAAATTTATTAATATTTTATTTTTATTTTATTCTTATTTTTCTTTTCAATTTGTTGTATAGATATTTCGGCAAGACACCACATGGAAGTACAAATTATTATTAGAATTTTATTAAATTTACTTTTAGATAACTCATAAAAATGATGTTCTTTCTACAAGTTTAGAGCTCGGTGGTCATTCCTATTGGATATCCTTTAAAAAAACCGGATTTTGTATTTGTCAATTTCTTTCACGAAACATACTTTTTACATAATTTCAGAAATTCAAATTTATTTATTATTTTTATAAAATTGTACCGATATTTCTGGCTGCGAGCTCACTGAGCCGGCCGAGAGCGTGAGCTCACTGAGCCGTTCTCAATTTTGTCTTATTTCTTAAGTTTTTTTTTCACTTTATTCCTTTGAGTTTTCTTCATTATCGATATCTTTTTTGCTCATAAATGATGATTTTTTACTCTGGAGAGATCATTTGCTGTCTCTTATATTTATTCTGATAGAGCATTTAAAGATATCGAAGTTTTTTATGATTTGAATTTTGTCTTATTTCTTAAGTTTTTTTTTCACTTTATTCCTTTGAGTTTTCTTCATTATCGATATCTTTTTTGCTCATAAATGATGATTTTTTACTCTGGCGAGATCATTTGCTGTCTCTTATATTTATTCTGATAGAGCATTTAAAGATATCGAAGTTTTTTATGATTTGAATAATGTTAGTAATAGAAAATATTATAATGTTTATCAATAAATAAATATCTATTATTATAGAAGTTATAAAATTAAAAATTTACGAAAATTTATTATTTAATTTACTTTCTATGAAGTTGTGCTATCGAACAAGATATTTTGGATAGATTTTAAAATTCAAACTCCGTTGATTATTTCAACCTCAATAGTGGCGAAAATGTTGATTACATTTTTTTGATTAAATTAAAAAAAAAAAAAAATACCAATTATGGGCAAGAAAAATCAGTATTAGAGAACAGAGTTAAGATTTATTGTTTAAATTTTTCTTTCATGTGATGCAAAATATTTGGCCACACTGTATTAGATTTATGGGCCATCAGGATGATATCATTAAATATTTTCTATCTGGATACAATCTCTAAGCGAACATTAACGTAAAAGCGAGACTTTTCTAATACATGTTTTTATTTTTGACTATTTATCTACAATTTAGAATAAAATATTTAACAACAAAAAAATAATTAATGAATGCTGTTTAGATTATCTTGAAGACTATAACATATAGGAATATAAAATCTAGAACGGAGTAAAATTGATTCAATATTTTGATCTGTAATTATTGGATGTTTGTATTTTAGAACTTCTTTTTGAAATTCCTGAATTGATTTTGATTTCACTTCTAACCATTCTAATTTCACATCATCGGGTACTTGATCATATTGCTTGAGAGTTCTATCGACGTCTTTTCGCAGGAAAAATAATATATGAGATGCATCTGGTCTGTTCCGCAAGCTAGGATGAAGATAGTACCATTGGAGTTGACAAAAATCTACAGAATCGATTGCCAGAGCCATTTCAGGGATTAAATTTTCTCCAAGTTCTCTGCGACTAAATAATTTAAAATCAATAAAGAGGAAAAAATATAAAAGAAATATTTTACAATTTACCTAATCAAAGCAGAAACAATGCATTGTCTACAAATTTTTATTCTCAATTCAAAGATTATTACGGGATCGTTCGATAAATTGTTACAATGTTGACATTTTTTATATTTGTGATTTAAAAAAAAAATTTCTTGCCTCGTTAAACGATTTGGAAATTTGTGAATATAGTACGTTCTCCAAAAATTTTGATTATTTTCGGTATGACATTTGATCGTATTGAAAATCATTTTATCTACTATTGAAAAAGATAAAAAAAGGTCTTTTGGAGATAAATTAACCGCAATTTCAACCAAAATTTCTGCGATCTCCAAGTCTTTCCAGGTCTGTTTAGTTTCAACTTCCATCTCTTCATCATCAATAATTTCTGCTATCTTTGAAGGACCTGCTTCAATTGTATCTTCATTTACTATTTAGTTAGATTTAACAAACTTTAGTAAAATACATATCAATAAAATATGGAATATTATTTATTACTTTACCTGATTCATATTTTTTTTTGTATGCTTCAAGTATTCTTCTGATCCTTTGATTTGAGTTTATCCTTTCTTGATTCTTTCTTTGTATTAATTCTCCATTATCCTTCTTTTCGCTTATTTGTACTAAATCGAAATTATTGCAAAGAACATTTAATTCACAATGTAATTCTCCGTTTTCTTTTCGCAACTCTCTATTTTCATCTTTTAAAGTATTTATTTCTTCTCGTAAAATTTTGATTTTATCTTGTAAATCACTGATTTCATTTCGGAGATTTGTGATTTCAATAAGACGAGATTCATATTCTTCTTTAGAAATATTAGACCGTTTGAGTTTACGTTTAAGGAGATTCACGGTGTCTTCTAAATATTGGTTTGTAAGTTTTGCAATATCACAATTTCCAGAATGAAGTTGACGAGTATATTTTTTGAGCTTAGTTTCACGAGTCATTTTCTTCGATCAGTTAAGAGTCTATTAGGATTAAGGTTATCTTCTTTAAATATCCGCTCTGAAATATAAGACATAGAGCTTGAATTTGGATGCAATTGTCACCCGGGTAAAAAAAAAATTAAGTAAAACATTGTTATTTGAACTTTATTAAATATATTGCAACTACATCTTAATTAAACTTAAAATTTCAATTACAGTATATATACAATTTTACATGATTAAATAACCGTTTTTTTATATTGAACATTAAATAGAATGGTTTTATATAATAAAAAAACCTTAAATTAGTGTTTATTTTATATTAGTGCCATATTTGGCTTAAATGCGTTTTAGAATTTTTTTTTTATACTGTCGGTAATTAAGAAGCTTAAAACCGGTTCATAGATTGAGCCCAGTTAAACATTTTATTTATACATATATTTTATTAATAGGATCATCTATACTAGAAGTTGCATCGCAATTGTTAAAACTAACAAGTTTATTGACTGAGTGTTTTGTCAAAACTAGCAAGTTTATTGATTGACCTTTAAGGAAGTACTAAGAAGTTGATTTTTGGGGAGATTGATATACTGAAAAAAGTAAAATTTCGCGATTCTGAACCTAGAAAAGATTATTACACACGCGTTAGAAATTATATCTGATATTTAGATAATAGAATTCTCATAAAAATTTAGTGCAACACGCATATAAAGTAAAATTCCATGCAATTCTGAAGCAGAAAATATTATTGTATTTGTTACCTTTACTGAAACAAGCCAGAAAAGTTGATCCCTTATCCTCTTTTGAAGTAAGATTTCACGCAACTCTACCGAAATTAATAAGTTCATTGACTGATTCTTAAGTTTATTGACTGACTGATCCAGAGGTTCAATCAAATAACTTGGAAGTGGAAAAATTTCACGCGTTTCTGAAGCCAAAAAAGATGATTAATCATGCGTAAATATCTGAAATTTTTCTGAAACTATATTTAATTTACAAGCTCATTGAACTGACTAACCTAATGGAGCTTTTATGTGCGGCACTTACAAAGTAAATTTTCACGCGATTAGCTATCAAAAATAGTAAGTGACTCTCAATGTTGGGAGGTTTGTTAAGAATCTTCGCTTCACAAAGATTATCACGTGTAATTGTCAAAATAAATTTATTGACTGACCCTTATTATGGAAATTTATGTTTTTCTTTTTATTTTGAAATCTTTTACACAACAAGCAAACAAAGTAAAATTTTCACGCGATTATGTTAAAATTAACGCGTAAAGTTTAAATTTTTATGAATCAAAAATCTATTTATAGGCCTGCAGAAACTCTCCTCATTCTGAGAAAAAGGAACAGAAATATCGATTAATATAACAATTCACATTTTAATAAAATTACCATACTATCATGCCTAATGCTCTCAATAGCAATTGGACTTTTAATGATAATTGTCATTGTTTTGAATGTAATAAATTTCGTGTCGAGAATAATTTTAGTTTAGAATTCCGTGAGATCTGTTTATGTTGGCAATGTACTTATTACCGCAATAATAGAGGAAGGCCCCATAATTCAAGCACAATATCTCAGGCCGCTCTTTACCATAATGACGTATATTATCCTCGGCAGCAATTTCAAGTTGAAAATACTCACGCGAACAATATGAATGCACCATATCAAAACATTACTCTGCATCAAGAAGACCAAGCCATGATGCCTCAAATGATTCCTGCAAACCATCCTCAACTTACTCGCCAAACTAGTTATGATATTATTTCTCCGGATACTGATTTCCAGCATCAGCTTAATTCCCAATTTCAACCTCTTACTCGCCCACCAATTTATTATGAACAAGATCGTCATGCAAGCATGTACCCTTCTCAAGTAATTAGTCGTAACCAAGATTTTCAACCTCAACCAAATCAACATAGCTACGAACAAAATCGTTCTACAAGCACTCCCCTTTCTCAATTGACTGAACAGGTTTGTCCTGAAAACACGTCCCCCTATCAAGTAATTAGTAACAATTAAAATATACAAATTGACCGAGCCGTCCAAGTCATTATCCGGTCTATACTTCTTCATATTACAAATCAAGTACCTCCAACTAATCAGGAATCGAGTGTTAGTAACAGCCAAAATCCTCAAGAAATGCATGCTAACGCAACGGTTATTATTAACCCTTCTCGTGAAGGTTCGAAACTTCGTCTTTATATAGTTGGGCTCATGTGTCTTATTTTATTAATTTTAGCCGTAGCGATTATTATCACCATAAGTAGTCAAGTTAAAGTTTTACAATCAATTTTTGATAAAAATGGTGATTTTTTCTTGCATGTTCAAATAATGAATCAATTAGCTTCGTTCGTTAATACAATTTCTTTCGTAATTAGTTATTTTTCGAATACTGTTAAACGCATTAAGTTAGGAATTTAATAATAAAAAAATTTTTAGTCATTTTTTTTTTAGTAATCTCTTATCGATCCGATTCTATGTTATTTCATAAATAAAGGTTCTCTGTTTAGGCTGCTTTACATATTTCTAAAATGTTATTATATTAAATTTTAATGAGATAAAAAATTTAATCAGGCCGATGCTATTATTATAATACTTTAACTGGGACTTTTAAAGTCCGTAAAACCTGTAAATTTTGAATCGAAAAATATCAATTTTCTAATTTATTAACGTAAAATTATAAAACTCTGCAAACAGCTTATAGCATTTTATTCAATTAAAAACTTCAAATTTAATTTTAGCAGCGATACTCTTCGTAATGCAATCTGATATTAGGATAGAAGACTCCAAACATTATTTTATTCTATTATCTAAAAAACGTATTTTTTTGAATTATTTATTTATTAATATCTATATCTTCAAGTATTAACGCCTTTGACTTCTAAGCATTAATGCACAGATTGAAGAAAAATATATATATATATATAATATTAAGTACCATGTTCATCTAATTCAGCCCTTCTGTTTGGAGATTGCTGATTCTTTGTCCGTTTAATCGTGATCGTAAGTTATTTCTGAGACGACCATTTTCATTGAGAAGTCTAATATTTTCTTGTTTTGATCGTTCTCTTTCACTATAGAGTCTTTTCATGCATTTTCTTGCGAGTGCTCTGTAGTTTTTTCTAGAGATTTTATATGTCCAATCGAGCCAGATTTGGCTTAGGTTTATGTGGATTATAATTTATTGAGAAAGTCTCTCATTCACGTGATTTTGCACTTAACTTAGTCTTCATCTTGAAATCTTATAGTAATGCCTTCCAAAAAAGCTTCCAATATGACACCTAAAATTATAAGCGACGAAATACCAGATATTAACAGACGAAGAATACAAAAACTATTGTCAATATTTTACACATGGATCTCTCGGACCATTGACTAATCTAAACGAATGTTTTTCTAACCAATCAAAACAGTTTCACAATGAAGTACGAAGAATCAATGACGAATTTAATAAAACTGATAGTGGTTACTATAAAGATTAGTTTTTTACGGCCGTCGGAAATATATTAGTATAAATTTTTCAATTTTTTTGAGTAATTATTTATCAAGGTGAATAATTTCTTCTCGGTAATAATAGGGGATAACAAGAAAAACAAAAACAAATCCAGGAATGGCATTCATCAAGAAAGTTGTCATAATAGCTCAACAGAAGTATTGTTAAATATTCAGCCTGACCCAGAATTAGAAGATTGTGAACAATCTAATTTAGAGATATCAAATGCACTAAGTTATTTAGGATAATTTAAAGCAAAATCATAATTGTTCAACTTCAGCATATCTATTAAATAAGGATCAAACTCTAAATTAACAACAGCAACAAGCAGTTTATATTTGTCAAAATAGGACTAATAATGATAATAGATTTAAAAACAACTGGAGTTTTATTGTGATTATTGTTGCACTTACGATAATCTGTGTTTACTATAAAGGTAAAAAATTTTGGTGATATTGATATTTAATTAATTCTGATAATCATTATGGTAGACCAATGAAAGATTATTCGGGATCATAGAAAATCTTAACCACATAAGAATCCTTCATGTTTTATTAATAATTAACATAATCATTCTAATTAATCATATTTCGAATAGGTACCGACAAATATTTGGAATGCCTATAATCTCGAAGAGGAAAACACGGATTTAAGAATAAAAAATGCAGCGCTAGAAGACGAATATACAAACTTAAAGATAGAGAATGCAGATATTAGATCACAAAACATTGCTCTCAAAAAAGATAACAAAGAATTCAAATCAAAAATTGCAGGTCTGGAAAGAGATAATACAAATCTTAAAGTAGAAAATAAAGAAACCGAAGGAAGAAACCACGCCCTAGAATCACAGAATACAATTTTAAAAACCGAAAATACAGATTTAAAAGTAAAAGATGAAAATCATACAAAACTCAAAACAAAATATGCAGTTCTAGAATCAGAACACAAAAATCTTACATTATTATATAAAGATCTACAAGCGAAGGTCGCAGAATCTGAAATTAAACTCAGGGATATCAATAAGAAATATAGCGAACTCCTTACGGAACATTCAAATCTAGAAGTAATTTATGCTACACTCGAGAATAATTATAAAGCATTACAATCTAAAGATGCAAAGAATGAAGAAGAAATTAAAAATTTGAAAAAAAAATTGAAAGAAATACGAGACGAAAAAAATAAAGTGGAAAAAGACTTGTTAGAAATAGTCGAAGAACAGAAAAAAAAAATTAAAGAAAAAAATGAGATGATAGAAAAATTAAATGAAGAAAAGGTAAAATCTATTATTGAACAAAAAAAGAAAAAATGTAATTAAATAGTTAGTTTTTCTTTAATCTTTTTTGATTTTAAATCAATATTTTTCAAATCAATAAAACAATTGGGTTTTTCGTGTAACATTCTCGATGTTCTGTGAAAGCTTAGTTGTTATTTTATTGTTACTGTACATTGTTTATACGTAAAAACTAGTGATGGGCATGCGCAGGATCCGCGCAGGATCACGCGCGCAAAATGCGCGTGATTTTTTGGATCCTGCACGTGATTTTTAATGTTTCCTAATTCAGGCCAGCCGGCCCGCATTAACAAAATTTTAAGAAACTTACAAGGTAATCTTTATCACGCGCATCATGCGTGGATCATGCGCGGATCACGCGTGTAAGCCGCATTCTACGCGGGATATTTGGGAAACCACAATTTGCCCATCACTACACTTAAAAGTGTGCGAACTAAAAAAAAATAGCGAGCCAAAACCTGAGGTATAGTTTACGCGAATAAATGAAATAGTTTATTTATATTATCTCAATTTTATTATCTGTTATATTTAAAAAATTTAAAGTATAACGAGATAAAGGTTCAAATTGTAGCGTTACTAGCATTAAAGTCAAATTTTAACAAGAAACAATAAATTTTCACGTGATATGTATTAGCCAATAATGATAAATTCCACTTTATTTAAAAATAAAAAATTCATTTTCTTTGCTGCCTTTGCAATAGAAATAATGTGAGATTCTGACGATGTATTGTTCTATACAAATATGATTGACATCACGTTAAGGCTTGAATATGATCTTCAAGAACACGTATTTGCTGATAAAGAATAAGAGTATCCCTACAAATTTAATAAAACTATATTAAATGTGTATTTTCTCGTTTATAACACTTTTATTTCCTCTAACTGTCTATAAGCTTCTTGAAATATTTCATTATTCTGCTCATAAGGTGATCTGGGAAAGGGTCTAAGAAAAGAGGACCTTAAAGAAGAAGAAAACCTGGAAGAGGACCGAATAGAGGATCTAGAAGAGCGAATTGGGCCAGGCATAATTTAATGATTTTTTTTCACAGAACATTTGAGGGATTTAAAAGATTTTTTTATTATAGCATATTTACACAGCCTTTCATTAAAAAATTTGTACTTTTCAAAAAACTATATATTTGAGATTAATATATGAATATCAGTTTCAACAATTTACTGTACAGCCC